AAAAAGAAAAAAGAAGAAGAAAAAAAATCTTTCTCCACATGTTTCCAGAAGCAAAGTTAGGACTCAGAGGCGGAAACAGGAAATATTTTCTCAATTTTTTAGGTTACTCACCTGCAATTTAACCTAGCAGTCTGGGCATTTTCAGTAAGTGTCTAAAGAACCTTTGTGCAACAGACTTCTAAAAGCAAATTCTTTTGCCACTTCTAAACCATTTTCTACACAGTTAACAGAAATATTAAAAGGCAAAAACTTTGGCTGTCTGGACCTTGACCAACAAAAGCCTGTGCTTCCAAACAAAAGGATATGCAGGCTACCAAGCATACGTCACTTGATGTAAAAGCTTTTTTCGCATCCTTAAACATCCTCTTTCCCCTTCGACAAAACAGTAATGAGCGTTTATATACCAAATGGATCTCTCTCTCAAGACTTCCTAGGGAACACTGCTATCTACCCTGTCCCAAACAGCTAAACACTAGGAAAGACTGGTATTGCATCTTTTTGTGGTATCGTTAGGTTTAAGGTAGAGCTAGATGCTCCCTAGTAATGATGCCCAGCTCTGTCCTGTCAGGTACCTGTGGCTCTGCTCACTTGATGCACTGTAAAACCTGATTTCACTACATGTGCAATAAATACTCTAAGCTGGACGAGAAAAGGTTTGATTCTCTTCAGAGGGAATTCAAGCTCGACAAGTAAAAAAGTATTGCACCAGCTCATCAAAGCAGAGAAAACAAGAGTGAGAGTAAAGACTAAGGGTACACAGAAATTACTAATGCCATTCCCTACTTCCCTCTTAATCATAATGTTTTAAAAATTTGATTAAAAGACATTCATTTAGTAATACAAATACATCCTGTTACCAAAAAAAAAAAAAACCCAATAAACAAATGTGGCCATTTATGTCATGAACAGATTGCATGAACTCTTGGAATAAAAAAAATAAGAAATGTGAATTCAAGGTATAGACTGGTAAGGTAGCTCTCTGCTTCTCTTTTATAATGTATTTTATTTCTTATGTTACATTGATATAAACCATCTCAATGAAAGTCTGAAATCACTGAAATCAGTGGCAAACATCTAAAGACTGCTGACCCTGAATTTCACTGCATCTTAGAAAAAGTCTTTTAAAGCACTTTATAAAAGAAAAAAAAAGGCCTTCAGTTCATTTTTATGTAATAAAACTTGCTATCAGTAAGGAAAGACTTTAAATACCAAATACCTTAAACTGCAATCTGTTATCATTAGTAGAAAAAGTTTTCAGGGAAGTAAAACAAGTCTAATCCGAGAGCCAATCTGGTGGTATTACTGAAACTGTGAATCTGATGAGGGATCTCCGGAGAGCAATCTGGGCAGCCCACTGGCACTGAAGGAAGGTCAAATTTACCAAGATCATCTCTGAAAGCTGTTTCTCTACGCATTTTTAAAAACTCACAATTAGAGATTTCATCACTGCTGTAGGCTAAAATTCCCAGTTTTTCATCTGTATTTACAGTCAGATATTAGGAAAGCCAAAAAGGTAGCCCGTTTCCTGCTAACATCTATCCTAAATTATCTTTAGTGCAAATTAAACTTACTTGTTTTTTTTAATCCACAGAAGAACTGCCACCATTTCTTTTATAAAAACCTCTTATCTTTTTCAAGCCTCACATCCATCCTACAGTATTCTTTTTTTCCTACAATAAACAAACCCAATTCTTTAAACTGTTCCTTAACTGAGCTGCTTTCTAAATCTCCCACTAGTTTGTTGCTCTCCTTTGCCCTCTTCTAGCTAACAAAACATTTTTTTTTAAAGAGCTGTATCCAAAACTGCAAAATATATTCCACCTGAGGTTTCACTAACAGCGGACAAATATCAAAGCCTGTGCTAATATACACTGCTTGTAAAATTCCCAGCACTCCAGGAATGAATATTTGTGATGTGTATTTTTTTTTCAAGCTCTCCAATCATCTTCCTCTTACAGAGGGAAAACGCAAAGAAATACAGAGGTTTCTGAAAAAGGTATTATTTTTGACACCTTTTCTCAAGCAAAATGTCTGTCCAGAAAGTAAAAAAGATTTTACAGGAGTGAAGAGGTCTTTACGGAAGGACAGGGTAGGAGATGTAGGTTTGTTCTGTCTCGAGAAGAGAAGGAGAAGAAGGGAGCCCGTTGCTCCTTTCAACTACCTAATGGCAGGGTAAAGAGAAGACAGAGCCAGACTCTTCGCGAATGTCCCCATTAAAGGACAAGGGGCAGCACACACGGTTGCGAACGGGAAGTTTTAAATAGCTGTTAGGAAGAGATTTTCACCGTGAGGATGGTTCAGTAAACCGTTGGACAGAGGTCCAGAGAAGTCATGAGATCTCCAACCTTAGAGATATTCAAAGCTCGGATGGAGAAAGCCCTGGGCAACCTGCTCAAAGCTGGCCCTGCTTTGAACAGGAGGCTGGACCAGATGACCTCAAGATGTCCCTTCCAAGTGGTATCATTCCGTGATTATGTGATAATTCTGTCTCATGGCTTCCCTAGCTACTGCATTTTGCTGTCTTCAACAGAAAACATTAAACAATGCTTCATTAGTACAAGTATTTGTGTCTTTTCATCCAACAATCACAGAGAAAGGAATCTCTTCATTTATACACTCGACAATTTACTTATCTCAGAAAGCAGAGGTGTTTTTTGAGACACTTGCCTTAGAACCTCTTCACGTCCGAGACTAGCCAAATCGACTACAAATGGAGTAACGCCCCCACTAGAGAGCTATGAAATCCTGTAAGTCTGCTTTCAAGAATTTACAATATCAAGTATGGAAACCAGAAAAAGAAGTATTTCTCAATATAGCCACAACATTGTTAGACCATAGGTACAATTTACAAATGCCAAGTAGAAAATACCACAAGGCCTTCCAAACCTCATAAAATCCTACCAAAGTAGATTGCTTTTATGTTAGCTCTCTCTACTGAAAGGAATAGCTCTCTGAAAAATACAGATTCAAAATGACTTGGGAACATCAAGTATTCTGTGGGAACACCATAAATACAGGCTCTATTTTCTCCTTTCCCAAAACAAGCTGCTTGATGAAGACTAAGAAGGAAGAAGTTACTGATGAGAATGAAAACGTACTATTGTGTTTAAAACCCCTATTTTCAAGCAATAGTACTCAACTACATCGAGTCATTATGATGCTCAAACAACCTACTGCAGATTGACATCATTCTATTTAAAAAGAAAAATGTACATATTTCTTCAACTAGGGCACTTCAGATTAGGAATATCTTCAGTCTTTTCTGGAGGGATTTAAAAAAGCTTTGGAGAAATCTTAAAGCTATGGAATTAGCCTGGTATTTATAGCTCCGATTCCTAGTGTGCTCTTTGAGCTTCCTAGGACGTTCTTTTTCTCCATCTGCTGGCTGCTGACATGGTATAACCTTGTATTTTGATTATGAAAATGTATAAGAATAAGAGCACTTCATTTTACATTTCACTGTAAAGTTCTAGCTTCATCTCAGGACAAGCCAGCTACACTTAGTTTCTACAATATAATCTAGGTCAAGAATGGGGCTGAATATTTTCTGATGCAGATAAGTGGATTTGATTGTTTAATTATGTCAAAATATATTACTACCAATTATGACTAATACTCCATATGAATCATACTGTCACAAAAATATATATTTTCTTACCATTAAAATATTGCACTTTATATGCTGTTTCAATGGAATTTGTTAAATCTAGGTCAAGAATGCTTTTGTCTTCCTTGTTCAGTTTGCAAAACGGTCTACATATGGGTGCATGTCTATCTTATAGAAAGATATGAATGGCTAAATTGTTTACTGTACTTCAGCACTGTTAAATGCTGAATTCTTCTACTGCCTACTATTCTTCTGATTAGCTTTTCTAGCATTGCCTCAAATCTTTTATATCACCTGAAATACTTTTTGCAACAATCTTTCCTACCAGAGCATAAATCTGCCAAAATAAAATCATAAGTCTCTCTGTTTAAAAAATGCACTGATTTACTTTTGAATACTTACCTTCACTGCTCCTCATGGTCTCGCTTCTAGTTACTTTGGGGCTCTTCAGGTTTCTTAAAATTCTTTGTGCACTTTCAGCTTTGCTTTAGATATTCTCCTGTTTATAGCTTGACAACGGGCGATGGCCATCGAGGCTGGGTCCTGGCCTTACTGCACCCTGCATCTGTGGGACTCCTGGGCCCCACCTTACATCTGTCGAGACAGTAACATTGCTTGAATTAACAGATGAGCCAAAAGTTTCTATTTCACTTTTCTTGATTGCTTTCTAAGCCATTATCCATTACTTTGTAGTATAAACTGTAGTAATATTTGCTTTAAAATAAGGGTAGGATGGCTCTGATTGGAACTGATGGAAAAAAAGATATGTTTTACTAAATTATGGTGGTTATTTCACTGTCTGCAAAAATGAGAATGAGTAGATTTCCATAAAAATAAGTATATGGGTTTTTATAATGATGGAACTAGTATAAAACTGTACGCATACAAGGCCACGTCTTCAAACAAATTTAGTTGTACTGCTGCATGCTAAAACCTTCAACTAGGAAGGCAAAAAGCCTTGGCCTTAAAGAGCTAATATATCGCAGCTTATACTTCATGAAAATACTTTAGAAGTATAGCTGTAATTTCTCTTTCTCTCCTTTTCTTGTTTTTTTAAAAAATAACCTGACTGGCCTTGGTCGCGTAAAGGGTTCCAGCAGTAGCGTTTATGAGCTGCCGAACGAGACTTTGCACAGGTACGCGGATCCGGGGCAGGTCCCTGGGCAGGACCGGAGCGGGGATTACTACCTAACACCTACCTCTTAACAATAAAAGCACTGGGCTGCTATTGAGCCATTTACTTCAGAAACAACACGGAAACGCGCCTGCAGCCCTCCACTCGCTCCGAGCTGGGCTCTGCTTGCGGCAGTTTCAGCTCCTCGGAGCCTGAAAGGAGCTAACGATCTTTGCAGGACTCTAAGGCAATTAATCAGTTCTTTCAGAGGCGAAATGGATTGGTGCTCATTAGGTTAAAGGCATATCCAAACGAGTTAATGTAGGCCTTTAAGCATCATACCTGAAAGCCTGTGGGCTCAATAACAGCGTATTTAGGGATTAGAAACACGCTTTTAACAAATTCAGAATTAGAGGGGGTTTTGCATTATTTGAATAAATCTTCTATTAAAACGGATGCAACATATCTCATCATTGTTTTTTCAGATCCTACAAAAAGCCTAATGTGTCTCTTCTGAGCTACACAAAACTGCTTGCTATCTTAGTAAGGGGGTCTTGGCTGCTGTTAAAGACCTTTTCCTTTCTCCAACAGAAAACATTTCACAAAACGTGTAAGACAATCTCCAGTTTTTCAGGATGCACGCTCATTCACTGAGAGTACATTGGTAGCAAATACCAAATACAGTATTTACTATGATTCTTAAATATCTCAGTCAAGTTCATAAACAAAAAAATTTTTCCTTTCTTGGCGATGACCTGTTCTTTAGCTTGTATTGACTTTATTAGCACCAGTAATTCAACTGAGTTGATCAGCACCTTTCCAGTTTAAGGACAAAATAGGGCCACAATATACAGCAAAAATTTGAAACACTTCGAAAATTGTGTTCCTATAAAAACAAATATATATCGTATGAAGTTCTTACTCTTTAGGCTTTCTTAAAGCCTGGGACACCAGACAGCTTTCAGTTTTGAGCACCATACATTTAACGCTTCTGAAGATTACTGGGCTTAGCAGTTCTTAATGTTGAGTGTTTTTATTTATCGAGAATACTAACAAGACACATAGGTGATGGCTACGAAGCTAACATCTGTAGTCTACCAAAGGCCCTGAACACCAGGCAACACATAAAAAGTCGTCTTAAAGCCTAAAAGAGCACTTTGCTCAAAATTGTTAAATCTTCGGCTTTCACAAAGTCTAAAGTTACGAGGCAAAAATGATAGCATGTTCTTGTTCCCAAATCATCCAGTCCACAGACACTAGTAAGATGATTGAGATAAAAATAAATAATAAACCATCTATAATAAAGTAACAAAATCAATACTATTGCTATTAGTGAAATAAAGTCTCCTCCTCCTAGCTGAAAGGGTTTACAACAAATAAAACAATCAGAACACGAATATCCAAGCAACGTGACTTGACAAAACGAAGGAGCCATAGAGATCCAAATTATCCTGCAGAAAAAATGCTGCACTTCAGCTGGTAAAAAATTGGGAGTATTCAGTGAAGAAAACTGGACAAAGCCAGACACCATGTGAAAGGAGAATGATGTCTCGGCACAGATACAAACGTAGCCGAGCCTGGGGAGACGGTGAACTTCCTCCTGCAAGCACCCACAGGACGTGCAAGGCTGGGCTCTCAGCAACGGGCCCTAGCTACTAGTTTTTAGCTTGCCGAGGAAGTGAATGGCAATGTTTTCTAAACTACTCAGAAATTCAAAATCTTAAAATCTGACATATAAATGGCCCAATTTAAATATACAAATTTCTTCAGCTGTGGAAATGACAGAATTTTTAACTTTCTTCCTCTGCATATAAACTGAATGAAATATTTGATGAACGAAATATTTGAAAAAATAAACCTCTTTATTTAAATTACTCATAAAATTGCAAATAAATACTTTAAGAATCCATGGCTTCATAATATAGCTTTCCTTTACAGTAATAAAACAAATGGAAAGATGGTATAACCTATCAGTAAAGAACCTGCATACAAATATATCTCAGACTATAATTTCGCTATGGAAATAATATTCTTCAGATAAAATTATTTATTCATGTTTAAAAACGTTGAAAAGTATTGATTGGAGATATTTTTATAGAGACCTTTCCTTAAGCACATAATGCTAATCACAGCAAACACTGTAAAACAAATTTACTGGAAACAATTTCAATAACTGGTGAAGTAGCCCAAGAGTGAAACGGAAGTCATACTTGAGCTTAAAATGACTAGGTCATGTGGACAATACTGAAGACTGAAGAAGCATCAGTACAAGAAGCTTCTAGTGAAGGCTCCAAGAAATCCACATTATTAAAATAAATTTGAGTATATAACACGTTTTAACCCGTAATATCTAAATACAACAGTATCAATGAACCAACGATAAAAATCATCTTACTGAGCATATATGGAAATTAAAACACGTAAGTGGAGATTTAATTACAATTTCTGCAGAAAGAATACATAATACCTTACTTATGTATACTCAGTTTACAAACTTACTAGCATTAAAATATTGACATCACAAACTTAGGTGACCATGGTAATCAAAATGGTCCTACGTGGCTCAGACAAGAAAATTTCTGCGGCTAATATGAATTCAATAGGTTCAGTCTTGCTGTTCCCCTCCTGAAAGTCTTTCTCTCTCTCTCTCTCTCTCTCTCTCCTTTTAACCAGCCTTCCTATTTTTCTTTGCCTATTAGGAATTATCTCTTTTTTGTGATAAAGAACTAAAATAATCATCTGTAAAAAACCTCAAAGGACTTTTTTTCCTTTTCAATTAAAAAACGGACACTAGACATTGAAAAAAAGCACTTATACTTCTGGAAATCTGCTATTTAATGTACGATGGTGATTATTACAGACTGTACCAGCCATTATGAAACAGTTAGCACTGCATCATGCATGAAAAGATCAGTTTATTTTTATCATTCAGAAATAGGTATAGGACTTATACTGACTACAAAATGTTTTATCCTTCTATTGCATACATATCCCTAACAATAAACTTTCCCATGAGTTCTCACCACGTTGCAGCAACCTAATGGTGAACGTATTTTGAGGGGAAGAGACAGCTGTTTTTTCAGTAAATGTGCTTTCTCCTTTGCTCGTGAGCTTTCTATTACATAATCAATCTGTGCTAACAGATTTAAAAAATCCAAAAAACAAAAACTGTCCACATATAATTTTGCCAGAAAGCCACAAAATTCTTATAATTCTAGTAGTTGATGAATCTAAAATTCATGATGGTCTACTTTTCCTTCGACTACACGAAAAAAGCCAAAAAATGATTTTTCATAAAAGAAACAGGCCTAGCAACTTTTCAGTGGTGTGCTGTCACAAATGAGAAAGAGAATGGCAGTCAGCCAGTTTTCTTTCATTTTTGTTTTTCAGATATGTTTTAAATGTATAGTACCTAAACTAATCTACTTGATTATTGGCTACTTCTCAGATTAGTCTTTCCATGTAAACTGTGGCAAAACTGAAAAAGGTCCTTCCAAAAAAAGTATATTCCAGATTAGAGTCCTGAGCTCCATGCAGGAAGAATTTGGCAAAAGTTTAGACACTTGTTTACAAGCATCTGATACGATTTTCTCTGGTTTTTTTTTAGTAATTGCCTTTTTTATTTTGTCAAGTGAAAAAGTCTCACAAAATGATACTGAACAATTGCACAGGCCTCCATAATACTGAAAATAAACATGACGTCATTAAGTTTTAATGGTGGCACAAGATGCTACTAATACCAGCAGAAAACCAATCCTGCTTGTAACATCACAGACTACTGGAAGCCCATCATTCTTTATAAGGCAGACCAAAAAAATGAAATGAAGATGCCAGTCTTCACTATGTGTGTACAGTGTTGATTAACCTGTTGCTTCACAGGAAAGAAAAAACAGAAGAAACTTTAAAAGTTTCAGGTAAGTGCATTTACTACGAATTTGCTTACCTCAGATCAGGTCGACTGGTGGCAGTGGTCCACCAGACTTTGGTGGGTCTCTGAACTTTTGGAAGGAATTTGGGAAGTACTGTTTCTTCAAATCGGTATGATTCTTTGTCTGTTTTGTTGTGAAAACACCTCTTCTTCCTGTAATAAAACAGACCTTGTATTAAAACAAGAGTTGCAGATGGACAAGTTATCAATACCTGCACTTAATGTAATCTGCGTGGCTTCTCTAACAGACTGCTTCACTGCACAAAAACCATGGGGACGTTCACAAACGCAAAAACTGAGCAAAAGTGGTTCGCTTACCCAGGATCTCTCAGTAGTCAGTGAAGAAAGGCAGACCCCAAAGTGCCATTTAAAGCGCCTAAATTAACTGGCATTCTGAACTGCCTTCTAGAAGGACCTCTCTTTCTTTATTGACCACAAACACAAAACCAGAAGAATAGCTTCTGAAGTTGAAGGTCCAACTTTGGGTGTATCCTCCATTGCTTTACAATTTTCACAGAATTTAAAACTATAAACATAGAGCCTACATATTTGCAGAACAATGAAAACTAACCTGTTTATCTAGATATTCTTGAGAAGAACTACCATAAAACTTCAAAGAATTAAAAATGTCAAAAAAGACGCCCAGTGCTTGTTACTGACATTTAATTATATCTACATATACATCCCCCCCAATATGTAAAAATTAACATAAACAATGTGAAGTAGCCTTGATACTTATGAAAGCAGATTTTAGAGTTGTAAGCATTTTAATAGTTTGGGCCCTGTGATGAAAGTACTGAGCATACCCCCCCAACACCCACCAATATCATTTACACAGGCTCACATAGGCAAACACATTATAATGATGCTTTCGCACTTTTACAAAAAAATCTTAAGTAAAGTAGTTTAAGTGATTTTTTTCCTAAAAGAAACACAACTACCGATAATTCTGTGAACTGAATGTATGAATGAAAATTGTGGACTCTACCTCAGCAGGGCCTTGTATTTAGTTTTATTCCTATTATCAGCATAAACAGTTGGCAAAAATACCTTTACAGGGTTATCATTGGACAAACTACAGGGACTGCCAGATTTTCAGCTTTCCCAGTGTAGATGTGAAACCTTGATAAGTCTAAGAGAGCTGGCTTAACTCAGGGCTCTGTTAGCTCCACAGCAGAAAGCTTGAAAACTATGAGGACACCAGCTTTTTTCCTTCGTTGTTCATTTTCTGGAACTTGGGGCCGTTCTTGAGCAGGAAACACTCAACACGTAGCGCTTTAATCTAGACGCAGCGGCATAACCAGTCCTTTGCTGCAAGGGCTCCATCCTCCCCTTGCTCCCGGCTGCTCCCTCGCTTGCTGGAGGCCACCCCGGTCCCACCGCTCAGACAACCACATACGGAGCCGATTTGTGCATTTCTACCGGATTAGTTTTAACCTAGATCAGTTCCCTAATCTGCGCGGCTGGAGGAAGGCTTGCGCCAGGCTATGCACTTAGGAAGGAAGGGCACACACGCTGGGATGAATAACCCAGAGCAGGACCTGCTCTTTCAGCAGTGAATTTGCCTTATACCAATTTAAAGCGTTTGTGGAAATTCACTATCAGTTTGTTCATTCGTTTTATTTCAGAATAGCATACTACGGAAAATACCTTCTCTTCCCCTGTTTTCAGAGGAGGACTTCAGTATATTATTTCACTGTTTAAATACAAGTACTATTTAGCTACCTACATATTCAAAATGTATGATCCTAACTCTGTGTTTTGAACTGCCATAATACCTTAGAGTAGCTAGGTATTCTTAAAATCTGTTCTGAGTTACTTGGTTAAAGTCTTCACAAAGCTGTTGGAAATGTATAACCCTGTTTCTTACTGATTAGAATTGACAAACGTTATCCTAAAAGTTCCTAGACATGGTATCTGGAGAAAAGGAAGTTAAAACATAACAGAGGATATAGGAAAGCAAGAAAAAAAAAAAAAAATCCTGCCTCCCCAGACTGTCTTTGTGTGCCCGTATGGCCTTTCAGAACCGTACTGTTCTTTTATACCGTGGCCACATCACTATAACAACTTTAAAAAAGGAATTAAAGAGCCTAACCATGCAATATACCAGGTGAAAACAATTAAAGCTAACAAACACATTATTAAAATGTAGGTCTTTGAGAGGAGTTTAAAGATTAGCTACAAGGCTAACATACTAACATGTTTGCTTTATGTATATGAGATATAGCTACGAATGATAATATACTAACATTTTTCACCAATTTGGCAACCATGTCATTTGAGTAGAGGTTGCTTTGTATAGAGGGGATGTAAGAGGGAATACTACCTAGATATTTTGTCCATAGTTACATAAAAAAATGGATTGTTAATTTGCAAAAGCAGAAAATCAGGGACTTCAATTTAGTCAATAGCCGCAATCCTATAAACCCTACAAATCTGATACTTTCATAAAGAAAGTGACAAGTACTAATAATATATATCTTACAAATGTGAAAAGACTTTTATTTTATAAAAAGCCTTGGTTTTGACAGGGTAGGTGCGTGTTACCGTTCAGAAATAGCATACATGCAATCTTCACCCAGCAATTTAAAAACTGAACGAAAACAATCAAATTGACAAATAGATCAGTGCCAAACTATAAAGAAAATCACTGCCACGTACAGCCTTGGGTAATAAAGAGGTAAGCACAGTGCCGGCCCATGTACCACCGCACTCATCTTACCTAACTGCTGGTTGCTATGGCAAGCATTTGCCTGTGTTCTGTACGTTAAACAGTAATACGCTTTCTGCTTCCTTGTTCCTGATATTTTGACGAAGTTAATACTTGAGACTTAGACTTGTAAGGTATGAAAATTAAAGGTTCTCTCAAACAATCATACATTTCAATTTAGTTTGGTTTTGCAAAAAGATTTTGTAACTAAATATTAATTAATTAACTTAGAAGTGATTTTTACGCATCTGTAATAGCATATGTAAAACTTGTGATTTATTTAGATTAGCTATGTTGCATACCTCTTGCACATGCACTTCTGTTGTCTAGTTCAAAATACAAGCAATGGAAATGCAATCTACTTTTCCTCCTTCACTGAATCTTTAATTGAACATAGAGATTTCTCTGGAACTGATGAGAACTGAGATGAGAAACAAATGCTTTTAGGTGTGGGCAATACCAGTCTGTCTTTTTTCTCCCTTCCCCCCCCCCCCCCCCCCCCTTTTAAACACCAGTTGTTAGAGAAACAAAAGAATGAATTAATCAAAATGTTTTTTATTCAGTTGTTACCACTTTAAACTAACAGATTAACTGAATTTGTTCCTGTATTTGCCCATAGCTGAGATGCAGTCATATTCCAAGAGGTGCAGGAGGCAGCTGTCAGCAGAACACAAAAGCCATTCAAATGGGAGGACAACGCAAACCCACCGTCTTCTCCCTTTGTACGGCTAGTATAAAGCTATAACATACAAAATATAGATATCCAAAAGTAAACATATTTGATAAAATAACCTCAGGAGAAGAGAGAAACACAATCCTCGTCCCACCCAAGGGGACCACACTGGACCAACTGCCAACTCGGACGTCCGCTCCCAACAGAAAAATCCATGACAACACTTGCTAATAGTCAATCACTTTTTTTAGACAAAAAATAAAAATCTTCCCTTTTGGTCAAAATGCTGTTTCCATACTCCGCAAGCGTCTGCTTTCCCTCTCTTTCCCCACATACGATAATAACAAATTTCTAAGCAAACTTCACCTCAGGATCAGTAGTCCTGGATTACAACTTTTCCCTTCTCTTGGATTTGGTAGTTCATTTGACCTGCAGGAACAAAGTCTCAAAAGGCTATTTCCAAACTGGGTGAAGGACAAGACCGCACTTCCCATACATCCTATTTGCATGATTTAACCTTCTGTTGCGGTGCCCGACACAAACGAGGTACAGGGCACACACAGCCTATACCAAAGAAGGGCAGCGTGTCCTTTTCCATAATCCACTCCAGACTATTTTATATAAAAATATCTGTGCTTGCAGATTATGGTTAGGAGTAGAAATTTCACTACTGTTCAGAAAAAGGTTTCCACAGTTGACACCAAGGCTGGAAGCTTTTCAGCTCCCATAAGGACACTGCGTAAGCTCCTCAAGCAACGAACCAAGACATGGACAGATACAGCAGCAGCATAAGTAACAGGGAAAAAAGGACACCTGGATTTTAAGCTGAATCTCTTATCCAAAGCCGCTCACTCATAAGGAAAGAAGAAATTTAATTTAGCACAGGCATTAACAGTTTGTATTTTTCTTAATGATACGTAACCAAGTGTCTTCTAGATATGACATTGTGCTACTGTTTAAAATTAGATCCTCCAACAAGAAAACAACATAAACTTTTCTGAACTGTTATTCCTTATTTAAATATTCTTGGCAGAACTACCCAAAATTGGCAATTCTTGGGTATTTTCAACTCTCGTTCTTGCTGAGCAGGCCGACTGCAGCCACCAGAGCTGAGGGTGAAAGGAATCACTGGCTGGCCTTCCCGACGGACTCGTTCTTGAAGAAAAACGTGAATTTTCTTCAGACTCAGACTGCAACCAAAACTGGAGGCAGAGAAACTGGTTTTCTCTTAAATTTGAAATATTACATTGAAGTTCACAGAGAAAGGAATCACCTTCTTTGTTCACTGTAAACGCACGACACCATCCACGAATGTTTTTTCAATTGTTACTGTGCTGGTATGAGTTAATTAGAAACTCTTAAGGAAGCCAAGTTTAAAACAAACAAACAGCAAAACCCAAGCCACAGTCGGTTGCCGCACAATCCTTTCATCTTCATAAAACCTTTTAAAAAGGAAGCACCTTGAGGAAGTTCAGGGAATATTGTTCACCACTAGGGACTTTGGTGCCAGTGTTTTTAATGCGTTGATTTTTACTCTCTGCCTATTTAATGCTGTGACTAACTTCACCACCGCAACACTTGTCCTTTCCATGCTGCCTATAAGATTTTAACCTCACAGTATAACAGTAACCAAATCCATCATACACACAGTACTTGTTCTCATTACTGAATACCTTTAGCCCTTTAAAAGCTTAAACACCAACTATCCCTGCCTGAAACTGAAAAGCCCAAAGTGGTCCAAAACAAATTTATGGAGTGAAGGAACTTCCT